TGAGGTCAGTGTCGGGTTAGGTATATTAGCATATATGTGAAAGCCGTAACAAATGTATACCTTATAGCTGGAGCTTTTGAGGACAAGGTAGCCCTTCTCAATGAGGTCAAAGGTGAGTTTGAGGTACAGGTAGGATCCCTGGCTCAGGGCCTTGAGGTGGGCGCTGAGCTTGCCGAAGGTGGTGTTGTCCATCTTGCCATTGAGTGAGATGTTGTTCTGGATCTCCGGGCTGCTGTGGATGCGGTGCAGGATGTAGCCCTGCAGGTCCTGGTCTATGGCATCATTCTCCTCCAGGCTGTCCAGAGAGATTCGGTGAAAAGGCAGCGCGTTGGTGATCTCCTGGAGAGTCAGAATGATTTCAGTTAGGAAGTCATTTTTCATGACGTTGGTAGAACGATACTGTTAAACTGTAGATTCTCACAAGTACAGGAACTCATATAGAGGTCAAAAATAAATAATAAGATGGTATGACGTCTACCTGTAGCGTGGTCCTGACTGTGACCACCAGTTTGAGCCAGGGAGGGAACTTATTGATGGTTTTGGTGAGGAAGGAGACGATGGTGTCTCCGTAGTCTGGTTTGTGGAACTCAGCCTCGTTGAGGCCGTCAATGAGGATAATGAGATCCTCCTCAGAGTTAATCTTCCTCTCTGAAAGACACAGGGTGAAGGTTAGAGGAAGTTCAGGCAGGTCATGAAGTCAAGCTCAGCCCCAGTTGCTGCAATCGAGTCCACATCACCTTATGGCGCAGCTAAAAAGCATGCTGCTTTAACCTGCCTACAGCTGCTGCTCCCTGTGCGAGCCACTTTGCAAACCTCCTCCACCCCAGTTTCTCCTTTCATCTGTGTCTTGCTGCTGTTCTCCTCAGCCCTGGCTTTCCATGTATGTATGAGGAAGTTTAACAGAGGTCCCAGAACAAAACCTTTCTGCCAAAATATTCATTAATAAAGAAGGAAATGTAATTTTTTTCCTAGACTACAGTTGTCCTGACTGAAATATCTACCCGAGCCCACAACACAACTGAAGATCAAGCACTGAGAAAGAAATTTGATATGGTAATAATTATACTGTGAGTACTTTGAGTATAAGGAAATTAATATTGAACCAATGTGTCAAGTCAGGGAATAAATTAGACTGTGAAAGGGCACAAAGTTTGAGTTGTGAGAAAAATACTTTTAACTTGTTAAAAATTACAGCTCAATATGTAAATTATTATGTAAATTTTACCTACAGAGAAAATTAAGTGAAAACATGTAATAAAAAGATGAACCTTTTTATGTATTATAAACAGCTCAGGACCTCAAACAGCTGAAGTGAAACTACTAACTACTAACCTTAACAATATAATGTTGTCAAACACATAGAGCAGATCAAGTGGAATATGCATGTTTTCTCTGAATTGTAATGGTTACTATTTTAAACCACCTATCCCAGCTTTTTTTAATCTGTCCTACCTGTCAAACATGCCAGTTGTACTCCACTTGCCCAGTTTCCTAAAAAATTGTTCATAGCGTGCCAAGATATGACATTTTTTTCCTGTTAATAGGTTTTTATGAATCACCTTGGTGGTGCAAAAATACTATTTCATGCCTGTCAAACTGTTATATTTGGCCTTTTTCATAGATTCGACTAAAAACACAGAGGAAAATCAGGTTTTTTGTGACAGGCTGGTAGTAACAAAGTGCCTAAAGATACAATTTAAAAATTTTTCTTTGCTAAGCTGTCTGTTTATTGCCTATTTCCTTTGAGTTTGGTGCCCTTTTAATGCTTGATTTATAGGTCAGTGTTAAGTGGCTTAAAAAATAAACATTGATCTGAAAATGATTCATGTACAAGGACTGGACTGAAAATGAATAAAAGCAGCCAATGTCTAAAGAAGATTTTTGAAATACCATCAAAAAACCTGGAGAACTATTGCTTGAGATTATTTTTAAAATTAACTGACTAACTGGAAGTAAAATATAAAGAAACACATACTCCATTTCAACCACCTGTCCACTACTTTTACTTAATACTACACTTAAAGCTATTTATTACGTTTAGTGACAATTTTTTTGCAATTTCAAACTGGTAGCTATAGTTTAAGTTAATAATCTTCCAGTGTTTTCCTTTTTTTTCATAATTTTCATAATATTTTTCCCTCTTCTCCCTAGGTTAGTTGAGCTAATCTGTCCACATATGCAGAAATACTTGAGAAATACAAACTCTAAATGCTTCACCTTTGTAAAGTGCATCCAAAGGCTCCAGGACCCCTCTCCTAAAGGAGGCCAGGGGGTCCTGGACGCAGGACCGCAGACTCAAGATGCTCTGCAGGTGTGGCTCCCTCAGCAGCTGCTCCCTATAGGCGACTAGGTGCGGTGAGCGGCACAGGAGAGCCGCGACATTGTGCACAAATTCTGGCACCAGGCAGGTGTAGGCGTTATCTGCCTGGCAGTAGTGGTACGCCACCACCTGGGGGCGACAGAGAGTTGGGAGAAGATTGCAAGCCAGGTCATTTGGAGAATTGTAAAGGTGAACACTCCCCATTTCCCTCTGGTACTCCCAACCTTCAGCAACCTTTGGATATTGCAAACTCAAGATCGGTGTCAAGGAGCACTTGGGGACACGTGACACACTTTTAGAAATAACACTTTTTTCAGGGCTCCGTCAGTGCAAAGCCAGCTTTCCCGGTGTACAACAGCTACAACTCATTTGGGATTGAGTCAACTTCATGGTGGATGATTGCAGCATAATGAAACATAATACTGCTCGTTTCGCTGTATGGTTTTAGCTATTAATAATTCATCGCTTCCGGCTGCCAAGAGAGACCGACTCTGAGTTAGTTCATGCATGCTCATGTGTGAGAAGACTGTTGTACGAAGGAGTCAAGTGTTAAACTGTCATAATTCACAGCTGCGTACTTGAAACATGTTCAGATTAACTGATTAAGCAAATATAAGAATGATTTTTAAAAGAAGAAAGTTATTTTTGCACAGGCACATGGTGGGATGGAAAATAGCAGAGGGCAGGTGAATTTTCTGAGAGGTTAGCCAGCTAAACAATAGCAGCAGGTGTGACCGGGCACTCCGGGGGACTAAGAGATCACAAAGAGCTTGAATTTTCAGAAGCGGTGGCAACGATCAGAGGGCAGTGAGAAAAAAGGAAGGGGGTTAAAAAAAAGAAGACTAATCAAAATGGAATGCTAATTTTTGGTCACAGTGGAATAAAGGGCTTTAAAACAAAAGGGGTGAAAAAGGGAGTGAGCTCAATTATTAATTCACAGAGTTAACAAGATCTAATAGCTTGGCTGGGAAATGGCTTTCTGCAGGTATAAATATTTCATAAGGCTCCCTGGCAAAGTTGTTTTTTCTTTTTTAAATACATCTGCATAATGCATCAGGCTGGGACTGGGGATGCAGATGGCTACGCAGCGGGGGAAGGAGGGGGTACTGAGGTGCAACAGCAGACAGGAAGAAGAGCAGGAAAGAGAGCCGGCTTCACACATCACAAAGGGTTTACATCGCGGGCAGGTTAGAGGAAGTTAATGCTCCACATTTAAAAGCATTTACCACAACAAAGAGCCGCACACGTAATTTGGAACGTTTCAAAAGGGCAAAGGCAAAGTCGCAGCTTATCTCCAGCACCTGTTTTTGAATTCTACCACCTCAGGATTAAGCCCCGTGTGAGTGCCTGCTGGTAGCAAGAAACTTTCTTTCAAAAGCTTGAAACTGCATCATTTCTGACAGAACATGAGCCATCTCTGAGCATGTACTTGGTAAAGGTATTTTCAAAAGAGCACGTCTCTGGCTATCCTACTAACAATGTCAATTTAAGACATGAAAAGACAATTATCTTATCAAATCAAGGACATTTCAAGGCTAACCTAAAATCTAAGATGACCATTTAGATGATTGAATAGAATTTTTTTCCCCCTTCGTTGTTCGGTTCGGCTTTGCAAATGCCAAACCATTCCGGGGGCTTGCAATTCTGTTGACACAATATTTGGCAACTGATTTTGCTGGGAAAATAAAAGTCGGGGGATATGGAAGTGCCAAGAGGTCGAAATACACATGAGTGGTTTGAGCTTGTGCACTTACACTGCCTTAATATACGGCAATCAAATACGAGCAGCAAATTTCATATTACAATCACTTCAAGCACACTTATTTGTGAAGCAAATGGTTGAAAAATAGATAATTTGCATTTGTAAAAGCACTCTATGAGAGGGGGGAAAAGTCAAAAACACACCAATCAGCTGTAGTGTTTTGATACTTTGAGACAAATGTTTAACCCGGATTCTTTTTCTGTGTTTTGTCTGTTTACTGCAGGCTGAAATGCGAAGGTGTGTCCAGTACCTGAGATGCCAGCCTCCTCATGGCTTCCTCCTGACGTCGCCTCATCTCTGGGGTCCCGGGACAGCTGCCTCCTCCGAGGGTGCCATGCGTAGGCTGGGGTTGGGTAAGAGGAAGCCCCTCTCCATCTGGACACAAGGTAGCCAAACACACTCAAGGGCAGCTCAAATATGCGAAATATTTTTACATAACGGCTGAAGACTCATTAAGATTTCCAAAGTACTGCAATTTTAATCTGGAAGTCAGCTTGGGTCGTGAAGATTGTGAAGTCAAAACCAGGCAAATCATATTTAAAATTAACATATGCCTACGTTTGGGTGAGGCCTGGGGGCTGTCTGAAGCAATCTGTCTCATGCGGGTGCCGTGGCAGCTGAGCGCCACCAAGCGAGAGATAATCGCCGTCTTGCCGAAGCCGATGTTGCCTACTATCACCACGCCCTGGTTGGTGCTGACGTTGGGGTTGTTGAGGTGGGCGTCGATCTCTTGGAAGAGCCATTCGCGGCCGGTGAAGACCGAGTCCATGGTGATGCTGGGCACCTCAAACAGCAGAGGTTTGAGGGCGATGTCTTGAGGCCGATAGGGAGCAAAACGCACTGCGGGGTTATAAAGAGAGTTAGTGGTATTTCAGTGACAAGCTGTGTCATCACTTTAATATTTTGCAATAACAGTCCCCTTGTAGTTGCGTTAGTACAAGTAATAATATATTACACAGCGTGCATAAACATGATACAGGTGCATACAATGTATCCATCTGTATTAGTGCACAATTAGCTACACATTGGTGCACTATATGGCAGTAAATGCACCACTGATTTGATGTTTTGCACACTTATCCCTACAAGTTGTAGCTGGAGTAATTTCCACTTTCTGGAACACTAAAGGAAAGAAAATTGAACTGTAAAGACTTCGAGATGACAACTTTTTACTGCCCAGGAATTTATTATTCACACCATTTTATTGTTGATCTTCCCCCCTTACCAGCCCATATTTTACAACAAAACAATCTTTGAGTTCATGCGGTTGTCAAAGATATTTTTAAGAAGTTGAGGGAGTGACTGCCTTTAACAGTCATGGCCGACTGTTGATTCTACTCACTAGGGGGAGTAATTAAACTAAAGTCCTGCAGAGGTTGGGCATCTTTTCAGCACAACATATGGACCATTAAAGACTAATGAGGCTAAAATGAATCTGGTATGAACTTCAGAAGCTGTGTGATAAAAATCTGTGTGAAAATGTAGTCTGCTGCCTCTGAGCGTCATCTCCCAGGCCTCATCTTTTAAACTGGTTGGAGTTTTGAGAGTAAACACAAGCTCTTTTCTAGTCGGTGTCATTCCTTTAAGTGTTATCTCAGCATTTGGCAGCTACGCCCGATATCGAGCTTAGAGTTTTACGTGAATAATCCAAACGCTTTGCTGGTGAGAGCGTTGGAGCACATGTAGCGCATTAGCCAGCAAGCAGAGCGAGTTTGAGCAGAACACGCTGCCTGTTGCAGCAAATGAAAGTTGAAGTAACTTACGTGACTGCGATTGCCAGGCATGGGTGCTATTTGCAGAAGCTGGGACAAACAGCAAGCGAAAGACAGAGAGAAGAAGAAAGAGGGTAATGAGAGAGAAGCAAAAATAAGGCAGTGAGGACAGGAATGGAAACTGGCAGCGGTGTGCAGTGTGTCAGAGCACAGGGTAAGGTGTAACTCAGTGGAGGGGGGGGAAGAGGAAGCAGCAGCATCAGCACATCATCATGTCAGAAATATGGGGAACCACCAGACCAGGGTCGATTACTAATTGAAATCCTTTGAATTACATTGAGCGCATTTCTCAGCATGTCTGGAGGGGAGGTTGGAGAGGGTTTGCACTTTTGGGAGAATCTAATTGGTTCCATTGCGCTGGGCGAGATCAATCAATCCCCATAAAAGTAATTGAATCCAGTTCGAGCAGTAATTCGACCCCGTGAAGAGAGACTCCAACCTCAACTCCACGGCCTATTTTGCTCAAATGTGCGCGCATGTGCATGTGCGTTGAAGCCCGTTAGCCGCAATTTCACATAGAATATTCCAGAATCTAAAGTTATTACAGGGAGCCTCAAACGAACTGGAAAAATCTGATTTTCACCTTGGTTTTGGTTTTGGGTTGTACGCTGGGGTAAAGTTTAATCAGATTCTTGCAGTATGCAGTGAGAAACAGCTGCTGGTCAGATAATAGCCAGTGCAGTAGTTCATTTCACACTCTGCAGCATAGTAGCAAAAAAAAAGCATGCTGTGAGTCAGAGCAGTAGAAACTATACATTAGGAGAAAGATGGTGAACGTGTACAGATTTCTTTCTTTAGTGTGTGTAGGTACAGTGCTGCAAATTATGCAGGGGGCAAGGAGGGAGTGAGCGTTGCATTAGAGCTGTATGTCTTTTCTAAAAGACTTCAGTTTGCTGATAATGAGCTGATATTGCTCTTAATGTCCTGTACCACACGGCACTTCAAAGTGCTGTTGCAAGCACTACACATTTATCCAGGAATGCTAATTATAATCGCAGAATCAAAAAGAAATATGACGATTACGCTGAGAATATTCTGTCTTATACAATCAGCAGAAATGCAGATACATATGGAAGTGGGTAAAATGCTGCTCTACGTTTATACCAAATGAACGGCCAGCACTGCATTTTACTGCGCTAAGCTGTGTGCCAGCTGCAGCCCAGTGTAATAAAAGACGTTTCATCCATATTCCCAGGTCAGATTATTTTAGTGCTAACTCAACAAACACACACAGAGGCAGAGGTAGACGACTCTGTGCTGATGTAAAATTCTTCCTGTTGGGTTTTACGCTAGGAAGGAATTGACACGATGCGAAACTGGTGATCCGAAAGCCGCCCAGTGCTGCAACTTACAATAGCTTAGATACTCAGGTCAATGAAGTAGGAAGCTAAATACCCAGAGACTCAGTTTTAAGTGGTGCTAATCCAATTATCTTGGGGGTGACTGAACGCCAAACGTGCCCGTAAAGCTTCTTCCGTCCTTGTGGAATTACTAAGCGCAACCTCACACCATCCTCCAAATGGCAGAAACGATTACATCTCTTCATGCACGTTAAATCGCACAGCCACCGCTGCTCCACTGTGTCAGGTATTTCAGGAAAACATGGCAGCCATGTTGTGAACAGGGGCTAGGGGAGTTGTTTGGATGGTGAGAGCAAGTGTGTGTGCGTGCGCACGATTGAGAGGGATGGTTGGCAGTTACTCATAATCCTGCCCATAACACTCCACCTCAGGCAGCATTGAGCAAGGTATCACTCCACCTCCCCCCCTCCTCCTCCTCCTCGTCCTCCCCCTCTAACGCCAACCCTCCACAGCCAGACGGAGTGAGAGTCTCAGACTTTTTAATTATTCACCAGGTGAGGATGACTCACGGTGGCTGAACAGCCTTGAGAAGGAGGGAGAAAAAGAGGAGGAGGGAGATGTGAAGCAGAGGAGGAGGAAAGGAGAGGAGAATGGGAGGTGGAGGACAGAAACAAGAAAAGAGGGAAGAGGAAAGGAGAGTGAAACTGGCACAACGGTGAAGGAAGAGGGGATATATTAGGGAAGGAGGATGATAAGCAGTTTAGATGATCACTGCTTGTCGCAAGGGGCTCTTGGGGAGTGTGGTGATGGGTTATCTCAGGTCAGGTGAACAACTTCCCAGCTTAAACTTAGTTTGTTGAAGGATTGTTTTTCTGTAACTCGAGTTATGTCTTATAGCAGTTGATGTAGAGCTACAGCTAAGCAAATACATGGCCAGAACAACAGGAACTTACATAATATCTGCTGGAGAAAAAATCTGATCTTATGTAATTTGCAGAGCAGGCTTAGAGCAACACATTACACCTGGATGTGCCTATGGCTAATGCGTGATCTTAAAAATAACGTGGTAACTAAATGATCATTCCACACATACTATTTCCTTGTTGGCATAGCAATTACTTAACTTATGTCTTAGAACCAAGCAAAGCATTACGTTGCATAACATGCAAAACCCCCTGAAGAACCCCAACACACACTTAAATATTACAAACCTAGATAGATGGAGTCAAATTGCATTTATCGGATGCAGACTGCATAAATTATGACTTTGTACTCGGACAGCAAATAACAGTATCTGAAGCTCCGAACAAGTTGGTGCACTGTCATCAAATCTAGACCATTATCTAACCACATCAACTAAAGCAGAAATGAGAACCACCTTTCTTCTTCAGTTGTGTTTACTGTAAATAAATGTGTACTATAAACACCACTGTAGTTCTAATTAGCGGCAACCCAGACTTTTCATTGATTTAAGAGTCACATGATTTAAAAAAAAAGTATGTGTTGCAGTCCTAAACTTTTCTAGACATTACCTGATGGAGGTGCATGTCAGCAAATGTTCAATGCAACTGGACTGAACATCAGAAGATCTTTAACCTTCAGATCGTGCAACATGCCGATCTTTCCCGGCAGGATCTGCATGATATCTGACAGCGCTTGGAGAGTGTAGGTAAAAGTCAGCTGTTTTCTGCAATCCAGGCAGCACCCTCACTTACACAAAGCTGAATAATTCTAGCAGAAGAAAATGTCTGAAGATGACAATTTCCAGCTGTGTGCCAACTGTGCAAAAAAACTAATGTGTGAAATAAGCTGGAAAACAAATTTTAGACCACCGTTTCCAACTTTAAGGAAATTTCACTTCACAACATGCATTTTGTTTGTTTTTTCTGACCTGCAGTGCATTTGTATCCATATATAATGTTTGGTCTAAATTCCCCCACTTCTGAACTCTACAGAATACTCTGCGAATAATAGAACTAGACAGCACTCTCCTACTGGTGCACAAAGCAAAACAAATAACTAATTAGCAAAGAATTAGCAGAAGTGAGTCTTTCCAGAACTCTCTATAATTAAAGCACTTTGAGGAGTTTCAAGAAGGAATTATTTTGCTTCAGCCTAATTAACGACTAAAGGAAGGGTGCCACCAAGCCGAGGTGGAGTACCACTAATGTTCACATCCTGTCACGCTGTTACAAATACGGGTGCGTGTACACATGTGACATGAAGCATCTTTAAAAAGGGGGATTCTTTTTTTTAATAACCAGGTCAATGCTGCTCAGTTTTTCAAAAGTAATCGCTATGAAGTTCATTCTAAAAGGCTGAATGAATGAATGCACATTTGTAGCTCGAGCGAGTACTTGTGGCATGTGTTTGCTATAAGTGGGGCTTACTGGAAAGAAATGACCATGCTCAGGTTAATCAACAACAATAGATCTGTATGGCACAGATGAATAAACCGCATCATGCTTCATAGGTTATACTTGTTAGCGGCATCCATTTATTCTTTGCTTTGGTATTCTTGTGTCACTTGTTGACAGTAAGAAGAATACTGCACATTACAAACCTTATCCTTTAAATGTCTAATCAAATGCAGCGCTCAACTGAATTTCTAAGAGTTATTACTTACTTTTCACTCCTGTCAGGGAGTATATATATATATATATATATATATATATATGGGAGTAATAAAATCATTTGGAGTTAAAAATATTTTATCAGCCAAAAGGTGCAACCATCAGCCTGTTCTGTGTATGCGAGACGAGGTGAAAACATGGTGAGGGGTGAAGGGATGGAGTGGAGCGACGAAGACAAGGAGAGAGAACGCAAGGATAAATGTGTGTGCAGTGTACAGTTATGTGAGAGTTTGCGGTGAAAAGATAAGGTGGGTGGTAAATCTTAGAGGTAGGCAGGCAGGAGCACAAGAAGGTCCATTACAGTCTGACTCACTCTCCTCAAAACAGCAGCACAGCTTGGGCCCTCGATGGCTGGCATCAAACGGAGCTTCGACAGAATCAACCACAGAGAGAGCTGCATCTGTCAGCTGGCTACCACCTGATCAATACTGTACATAACCAACAGTCTCCAGTAAGTCCAGATCCAGCAAAATACCCAGCGAGCCTCTTTCTTAGATGTAGAGTCTGTCTAAATGTTTGCATTTCACATCTATTATTAAAATTGTATGCACAAGTTTTGATCACAAAGAGCAGGGACCAGCTAAGCTCCAGAAATATTTGGACAATGACACAATTTTGTAAGTTATCCTCTTATTTCAAAGTCAGTGAGGCGATGTACAAAGTACCAGGATATGAGGAAGTGCAGACTTTCAGCTTTAGTTCAAGGGACTTCTTAAAGATTTTGCACTGAGGCTCAAAATTAACTTGACAATTAACTGACAAAAATTTCTGTGGTCATGTGAGGCCTGTTCATTATTCTATTCATGTGTGAAGAATTACAAACCAGTACTATATAGTCAAAAATAAAGCAGGCCATCATTAGAAAATCAACAATCTGGTCAGCAACACCAAAAGGCTTTCAAGACAACAGAATACAACTGAAGTGGATGATCAAATAATCTTTTCTTTGGTTCATCCTTAAGTCTGAGTTTTCTCTACTTCAAGTCTGGTTTCAATTTCAAGAATTATTTGAGGTAATTCGTCCCCACATAATCTTCTGGGGAAAACCCTGTTCTTCAATTCTCTTTTCTCTCTCTCTCTGTCTCATTCTCTGTCTCTCCTGATGAAAGCAGAGGAGCAGAGCATTCAGGGAGGCACTGACACTGATCCAAGGAGGCAGAAAGCATGCTAGGATGCAGTCGTTTGGCTTGTAAACACACTTGGCTGCCCTTAGAGGAGGAAGGTTGAAACAAGTGGCTCTGGCAGTAACAGTGAGGCTTTGAGAGCAACTACTTCTTACCCAATGTCTCCTGTCTTTTCCCTTTTCCTTCATGTCTATGTCCCTCCTTCCCTTTCTCTTCCCTATAAAACCTCTTCGACTCTGTTGCCAGCCAGCTGCCCTTGAGCAGGGGAATCACATCGCCGCTCAGTCGAGCACAATCTCATCTAAGTGAGGTCTTAACAGGTGTTTAAAGCACACAGGGATGCATATCTGTGTTCGCTCGGATGGCAGAGGGCTGTCATTACAGCGCTCATTACTGGCTAAGTGATAGAGGAAGAAGGGCAAGGGGACACATAATGTGACATAAGGCCATTTGGCCATGTGGTAAGGAGGCTGCTTCATCACAGAGGCACTCGCTGCTTTCGAGACTTGAACAATGTGCAGTGAAGCGGACTCTGAATGTTAAGCACAGAGACAAATTTTATCTTAGTAGTGAGACAGTATGACAAAATGCTCATTGTGTGCGAAACGGAAGGACGACACGAGGACACAACAGGCAACAGCCGGCGACATCCGGAGTTCACCACCAACAGCACAGCCGCACCACTGGTCTGTTATAAGAGCTTAGCGATACGTGCAGGCATTTGCATCTGAAAGACACCGCAGAGCGCAAACGAACCGTCACTGACTTTGATTTGAATTTTAAAAATAACTCGCTCGTCATGCAGCTTCGCCTTGCGAGATTTGTTGTTTGTGGATGAGAAACAGAACAGAACAGCGTCTCCATCGCTGCGTCTGAACTGTGAATGATGTGAAACAGCTGGCCAATCGGTGGAAAAAATTAAAAGTAAACAAAACAAAACAAATTTACTGATCACAGAATCATCCGAGTCCTTGCAATGCTTCACTACAGTAAATGACTGCAATGGGTCAGTTTATAGCATAGCATATATACATGAAAGATGGGCGTAGCCTCCAGGTCTGAAAAGTGAAGCCTTAAACCTGCGTTCTTTCTAGTGACCAGCAGAGGGCGGATTCTGTGGTTATTTAGAAATCCATGAGAAAATGACGACTGCTCACTTCATTTATGGCCTTTGTAAACTTTTCCTGTTGAGATTGTTATTAAACCCAGATCTCTAATGTTACCTGGTACAGCACAGTGTTCATTTAATAGCTTATGGTCTCTGAGAGTAAAATAACCAATTAGGAAGGATATGATTCACCACTGCATGAGTGTGCGCTCTGCTTGGTTTCTCCGTGAGATCCACACCTCACTGTCATATTCCGGTTATAAAAACAACGATCACACAAATGCTCAAATCCAAACTTCAAAACTGCACTTAAGAACAGATTTATACTTAAAGTCAGACCCAGAGTACATGTCCCAATAATATTTAGAAAACAAACAAAAGAAATTAAAGAATTGGAGGATACTTTGTTGAAAACTATCAATACGTGTTGAACAGTCACCTACTGCTAGATTTGTACATAAATAAAGACGTTGTCATCACATATTGATGCAGAAATGGCACGGAAATTAAAGAGTCAAACAAAATGCTCAACGAAACCTAAGCACATGCCATACGGTATAAAAAAGATGGACATATACAGCATGGCATTTATTAATTTTTAGCATTTAAGTGCAATAATTTTCTATCATAATACATTCTTCATACCTTTGTATTTGGAGTCTTTATATATAGAGGGGAAGGCGGATCTCACTAATGTGCCAGTTTCTTTATTTTTTCAATGCATAATCAGTTCAAGTCTGTCACGTGTAGCTCTCATAGCCAGCGTAAAGACAATGCTTAAAGTCTTTCGTACTGAACAACTGATAAGAAGGTTAAGAAGGTATATAAGGAGGTCCACGTTTGTGCAAAAGTGTGTGTGTTTGTGCTCTCCTTTACTCTGGCTTATTGCTCACCTCTCAGATCCTGCCCGGAGCGACCCGGCCCGCAGGTGGTGCTCTGTCTGGGCATGCGCAGCGAGGTGCGCAATGGAGTGTGCCGCTGCTCATCCAGGTATGCTAGATCCTCCAGGTGGGCCGAACTGGTAGCTGTGTGTTTGTGTGTGTGAGGCAGAGGGGAGACAGAGAGGAATATTTTAAGAGTGAGAGGAAGAAAAAAAAAACAATACTGTCAGCACACATGTACACTCAGAGACTACAATAACCAAACCACACAAACACAGGCACACACACACTTAAGAAGGTGGCAAAGGTTCATGTCATTGTCCTGAGGCAGTTGTCAGGCTTCTGCTCTCCCACTTGCCGACTCCTACAGGAAAGAGAAAGCCAGCCCTACATGGTTATGTCCTAAAATTCCCTCTTCTCTGTGTCTGTCACGCGGCACGGAGACAGATGCCATCCGGCCCCTCTCAGGATTAATTAGCTCAGTAGACAAATGTCTTATTCATGGAGTGAACACCGTCTGACGCTGGCTGCTGATTGTTCACACCACACTGTGTCTTCAGGGCCAACACTCGGAACCACTGAATGTTAAATGAGATTAGGTACCGTCAGTTTGAGTAAACACACAGATTCCCCGTCACCCCTGAACCCCTCGGTTCAGTAAGAGGTGAGAGCGGGGAAAGACGAGGCAAATGCAGAAAGGATTAAAGGGACTTAATCGAGAGGTTGGTGGTTCCTTGACAGATAAGCGCCGAGTTGCCAAGTCACCACGTCACCGCAACATGCAGATTTTAAACACGGAAACAATTCAGCCAGATGGCCTGAAACGCTTCACATGATGGAAGTGCACCTGTAGACTCAACCAAGAACGTCTTCCGCAAGCTTTGATGGATAAACGCAGATGGACAACAATTTGATAATTTCCTGTCATTTTGCACTCCTGAACACATTTGGTCTGCTCTTCCCATCTGTAATCCCAGGCCTCAGCAGTAACCTCGGTGTGTACATCATGATCAACAGAATGGGTTTCAGTATTAGTAATCCAGAAAAAATAAAGCAGCGCTCCGAAATTTGTCTTTCACGCAATACCTGAAGTTGTCAAATTCCTTGAAATGTCAAATTCAAGGAGTTGGAGAGAGGTGTGACCGAAAATCCATGGCTCTTCTCAGTTCTGTCGTCTGCCTCTCTCTCTCTCTGCAGGCGTTCGAAAAACTAAGGCATAGTAAATCTCAGAGGAGCAGGCCTCTAAGCCCGGCACCTCTCGCCTGTGTAACACTCACTGGCACCTCAGCACTGATCCATGTCCTGTCCTTGGTTCAAAGAGTGGCTTCTGTGCCACTGGAGTTAAGCTTAGTCGAGTGCAGAGCATGTGTACTGGCTGTGTTTGTGTGTTGCCGACTGCCTGAGTCACCCCAGCCATGGACCCAAAAAACGAGCCACATGGGTTTCCCAAAATGGAGGGAAAATGGCAGCTGAGAATGCCGAAGTCTCAGCCCTGGCTGAATTGGGAGGTGCTGGCCATCCAACTAGACTAAAAGCAAGGGCAGTGGAGCCATTAATTTGCTGCAAAACCAAGGAAGAATGACTCAGGCCTACAGGGCTGAAAAGTCTCTTTTTTCCTTTTCAACTGTGTTTGAATGTGAGGACTCAAATCCGTGTGCTCATCATCTCTATCTGCAATGCAGCAGGCTGCTGGGGATCACATTCACAGTTCTCGTGCCAGTGCGCTAAGACTACACGGATAGTGAAAAGAAAAAGAAAGGGGAAGAAAAACCCAAGTGTGGAACAGTGAGAGATTGGAAGGTGTTCCAAAAAAGTGAGAAAAAGGTTGAACTCTGCAACAGGGAGCTTTGGGTAATGACAGCCACATCAGACACTTCCTGTTTATAAGAGCGACAAACGGCATAAACGCACACACGCTCACACACACACTCGCAAAGACCAGCTGGGCTGCTATCCAGAGCCAGCATCAGCCAGGAAGTCGACTACTCATCGCAGATATGAGGTAGCTGCTGGAGCTCTGTATGCCTCGCTGTTCTCCTCTCATCTACCAGAGAGATGACTTGCAATGATAAATAATGGAGGTAGAGGTATTTAAACAATAATTCCGGGTGTTAAAACACCATGTATCTAAGCAGACTAAAGCCAGAAAGGAAATTAGGAAAAGAAATGAAGGAAAAAGGAAATCAATGTAGACTGTGCATCCCCCAAATGAAAAACGTTATCTCAAGTGAGCCGTTA